ACAGAAAGTGCTCTTATACTCTGAGCCGTGTCTCCATCCTACCACAAGTGGTTTTAATTATTAACAAAACAATAAGAAGCCAACACCACCCTTTCTCAGCAATCTTGACATGTAAGTTCGAGGCCTCTGCACTTTCCCAGTGTTTTAGGAGCCAGAGAGGTAAAGAGACGGTAGGTTATGCGAAAGGTATGGGAGGCCTCTTGGATTATTTTACAAAAAAATAAAAAGGCCTATGGTCACTTTGGAGGAATCTGGGGAGGTTTTTTGCTTGTTTGGTGAGGTCTTCACAGATTCTTAAGTCCTTTAGTCTGATGGAGCGGGGATTTATCCATTCCAAGAAAATGTCAGAAACAAACAAATAAACAGAAAGCATTTATGTTCTCTGGTGGACTCCGAGTAAGATGTAACTGTCACTGCTTTCTTAGGTTCGTTCTGTTATGTACTAAGTACAGGTGTGCTCTTGACTCTACCTCCTGGGTTACCATGGAGACAGAGCGGCAGCACCTGACACTTCCTAGATGGGGATTTGATTTTTTGACCCCTGAGGCACATATGATTGGAGCTGCTGATGCCTCTCTTCCTGGTGACACACTCATGAATTCTCTTAATAACTTCGCTCTGGTCTGCCTGGGGCAACGGACTCTCAGCCTCCCCTCCAATCCAGAAACCTCTGGAAAGCAGTGTGTATCCTTTCCTTTCCGCTTCTGTAGAAGCTGTGCAGCCTTAACTCTGGGGAAGGGGGTGTCAGGGCCACCTGTGTGGCCCCTGGAGTCCTGCCGGTTCAGCACACACAGCCGTCAGTCCATTGCCCTGGGGACGGAGTCTTGCCCGTTCAGCACACATACTACTCAGCTCATCACCCTGGCAATGAGGGGCAGTGTCCTTCCAGGAGCCTTGAAGGCTTCTTTCTGTCACAGGTGTTAGGAGTCGGCCTCTGCACGATAAAACGTTAGGGCCGGTTTTTACCCAGAGAGCTGTTTTCTGCCGCAGAGTCAGTCTCCTTTGTTCTCCATGTATGAACGTGAAGGACTAGGAAGCACAGTCAGGGTGAACCAGTATCTTTTCCCGAGTGTGAATCTCTTCCTAAATTGGTAAGTTCACACTTCCAAGCTGATGCACTGGGGGGGAAAAGGATTTGCTAAAATTTTCCCTTGAAAGCTATTTGTGTCCTCCCTAACTGGAGTGACGGGTGGTTGTGAGCTGCCCTGTGGGTGCTGGGAATTGAACCTGGGTCCTCTTCAAACCAGCCAGTACTCTTAACTGCTGAGCCATCTCTCTAGGCCCAAGGCTAACCTTTTAATTCAGGCCTGTGTAATGATTTTTTTTTTAAACAAAGGGGTGAAATGATTGTTTATTTTGCAGAACAGAGGCCAGATTTCTAGATTCAGTGGGTGACAGTATTTTTTAAAGATGATCCCCCAGTTAACCATTGGTATCTTTAGATTTTTTTAAGGGTATTTATAACTTGAGGAGTTTGGACTGCTGATAAATATTCCAGGTGAGTTTGATGACCTAACTTATTAGCATGGCCACTGCTACTCTATCTATTTAACATGCTGGCCATCCACATAGAGTAGAATCCAGCTGCTCAGAGAAGTAAGCTCTGGGTCGGGAAATGTCCCCTACCTTTCACGTGACAACTTCCAATGTTGTGCCTTGTCTTTCTGCCATATATACTGGGGGCGGGGGTGGGGGAAGGATCAGAAATTTTCAAGGTTCAAGCTGAAGGCAACCAGCTCTTTAGCTTTTGATAAGACGTTAGTTACTAAAGGCCGAGGGGATTTTGTTCACTTTTGCTTTGGAAGGTTCCACAAACCCAGTGACTACATAAGCTCATGTAGAAAAGGGTCCTGGGTTATTGATGGAGGCCAAAAGCAAAGCCCTGTCATCTGAACAAAAATGAATGCATACACCTGCCATGTCAGGAGTTCCCGAGGTCTCTTGATGACTATCTACAGTCTCTTCTGGAGAACTTCACCAGAGAAAGTTGGGCGGGGCAGTCTCCAAGGGCAGCCATCTTTGAAACTGAAGTCTCCTCTTACCTTCCCTTCAGAAGGTGGGCTGTCCTTCCTTACAGAGGTTTCCTGTTCTACAGCAGGGCAGAGCCCTGGCCTTCAATGTTTTGGTTAAGTTTTTAACTATCTTTGTGTGTATGTGCACAACATTCCTGTGGGGGTTAGAGACCAGCTCTCTGGAGTAGGCTCTCCCTTTCCACCATGTGGACCCCAGCGATGAGACTCAGGTTGTCAAACTCCTTTACCTTCTGAACTACCACACCGGCCCAAGCCCTGAATTTTAGAACCTTTTGAAAGTGACTCTTTTTCAGTACCCCAGTCTTCCAAATGCACTGGTCCTGTCTAATATTCTTTCTCTGAGGGGCAGATTTATCCACCTGGAAAAATACAAACAAACACACAGTGTATGTTAACTACCCTGGGGATATTTTTATTTAATTAACAGTTTAAATGAACAAATTTAAATTGGCTTATTTATTAGAGGCTTAAGACAAACAAAAAGAAATTTTGGACTAGTAGTATAACTACTCATTTACTTATAAACTCATTTGTTTATAAAGTCTGTATAGAGTCTTTTGAGGGAAACCTTATCATGTAAGTATATCAGAAAGCATATACCTAGAAGTAGCCATGGATCCTGGAATAATTCTATGAAAGGAGGAATATTTTATATTTAATTATATTTATAATTAAATATCTTATATTTAAGCCCTTCTCTCAAGTGCTCATGAACATTTTCCAAAGTTTTTGGAACTTTGTCTGCAAACAGCTCGAAAGTGACATGGCCCAGGGGTTCACCATCGGCCTCGGTATTCAAGAACCCTGTGGGATTAACCATAACTGCCAACAGAAGGTGACAGAGGACAGTGGCATCGGCAAAGACCCATTCCTTACTCTTACGTTGGTCTACTAGAACTGAAGAAAGTTGTGAGAATGGGTAAAGCCCATTCCCTGCCTTTGCTCTAAAGACAAGACCAATGACACAAAAGTCAGCCTCCCCTTGAGGGGCAGCCACCAGTTCTATGACTAGCCAACCTGTGCCAATAGCAAAGTGACCGGTACTTCACAACCCCTTCTTCTGACATCATTCAGATCCAGAGAGAGAGAGCAATACTGGTCATAATGTGTCCAGTCGTTCCCTGCTGAGGGCAGGGCCCATGTTCTAGGCTTCTGGTTTGAGTAACACAATACCAAGTCTAAGGTGAGCAGCAATCAGTGACCATGGGAAGATGGTTGCTCTCTGCCAAATCTGACCATGAGCCAGACTTAGGAATGTGATTCAAAATAGCTAGAGCAGATCTCTCTCCTCAATCCCTCAGAACTGGGAACAGCTTCTAGGGTCTGACTCAAAAGTCCCTATGGAACTTTCTGGATCCCTACAGCTCAGGGTACAACTATCACAAAGTAGAGACACTTTCAGCATTACATACACTTCCTGAGGCCTGCCAGGGAATGCAGCAGATACAACTGTAAGGAGAAATGGGGCTGGTGAGCCCGCTCTGAGCACTCCAACTTCCTGCTATGGCTCAGAGGTATGTTGACTACTTTCCTTACTGCTGCAACAAAATGCCACTCAAACACACCCTAAGGAATCAAGGGTTTATTTGGGCTCAGAAGACCCTAGACAGTGGTCCGTGACAGTAAGGAAGTCAGGTAGCAGGAACATGAGGCAGCTGACCACCCTGTGTCCATAGCCAGGAAGCAGGGAGAAATTAAGATTGGTGTTTGTATTTAGCCTGGAACTCCAGTCCGTGGAATGGCGCTGTCCAGATTTAGAGTATGTCTTCCCTCCATGAATTAACCTAGTCTATAAACTTGGTCAGGGACAAACCAAGAGCTTTGGTCTCCTAGGTGATTCTGAGTTCTTTCAAGCTACAAATCAGTACTCTCACAGGCTGGCCTCTACGATGCATTCTGACCCTGTGTGTGTGAGTGGCGTTTGCACCCTTGGTGGGTTATGCAAAGCAAAAAGGAAACAAATTGCCAGAATAGGAAGAAAAAAGAAAACGTGGCTTAACTTCACTGGCAAACATCAGAAGGGCATCTTGTCAGTCAGTCTCTACTCTAATTCTACATTGGCCTGAGGCAGAAACTCCAGAGGACGAAGCCAGAAGTCTGCCAGTTGGCATGGGAGGCCTTGGGGGCAGAGGCTCACAACTGCTTCTTTGCAGAATGACGGGGAAGGGTGCCAGCTCTAAGCCAGCAAGGCTGAATCTGTGAAGCGAGGAGTTCAGCCTCTGCTAGCAGCATGGGCTGTGTGGGTGCTTGCTTGGGGCCAGCTTTTGAGCGGCCAGAACCAAGACAGAAGGAGTGACATCAGTGATGCGTTCTGGCAGCTTGGGGACAAGATCTAAGATTCAGCTTCCTGTAGAAATATCCAAGAAGCAGCAGGGCTGCTGGTCACAGGCCTGTTCTGGATCTTTCTTTGCAGCTCCAAGCATAGAGCTGTAGGGTGGGGTGAACTCTCTCTGTGGCACAGGCCTGTCTACCATTTCTATTTTTCCCTGAGGCCCAGCTGATCCTTCTCTCTCTGCCTCTCAGGTGAGCACACTCCCTGCCAACCCAGGACCCTGGCTAATACTTTTCCTCACTGCCCAGTGACTGACTTACACTGTCAACCCCTGCCTACCAGCTGGTGACATAATTCACGTGGGCCACCAAACCCCAGGGGAAGCCAGTCTCCTCTCGAAGAGCTGCCCTAGTCCACAGGATGGGAGCCCCAGGGTACGGTTTCATTCTCTTTGCTCTGACTTGTGCCTACCACTCATGGGTCCCTGGCTTGATCCTTGCTTTTGTCCTCTCCCAGCCTCTTTGGAAATGGAAGTCATACATCTGCATCCGTGAGCTGGCACCATAGACCTGCATGGTGTCGTAGATCAAAAGTAAACATGCTGACCAAGACCAGCCCACAAGTGGCCAAGTGTTGCACACGCAGTGTGAGCATCCCACACTGCAGACACATGTCACCTGTGAATAGAGGTAGGCCATATGTAGTTCATGCATGCTTTTGATTGTAAACTACACATGGAGAAGCTGTGGGGAGTGGTGGCTCTGTGGGTCTCACGGCTCCTGGCATGGGAGGGGCAGCAGAACAACTCCCAGAATCCCGTGGTTCCGAGAGGGAAGAATGCTACCCTAAGCGATTGTTTCCTGACGTATGTATAAGCGCAAGTGACCACAGTCAGAGTGTGACACACACAGAGATAACATGAGAGATGCTGCTAGTCGGTGGTGTCATGGTCCCCACATGCCCCAGCTCTGCTGTCTCTCCTCTAAAAATAAAACAAGAAATGCTCTGCTCACCTGTGCCTCCTTTCAAGATGGTGGCAGCATGGGGCGGGGAAGACGACCTAGTCAAGATGACCCCGATGCACCAGTGTGAGGATTTGAGTCCTTGAGAAAAAGACTGGGTGTCAGTAGCCCACCCTTGTAATCCCAGAAGTGGGGAGGCAGAGATAGAAGGATCTCTGGGGATGGCTGGCCAGTGAGCCCAGCTGAAGTGATGAATTCAAAGCTAAGTGAGATCCTGTCTCAAAAGCCAAAACAGCCAACATCTGACTAGAGACATCTAAGGCCAAGCTCTGGCCTCCCCATACACATACACATGCACCCAAACACATGTCTGTGCACCCTTACGCACAGCAGACCCACACCCATACACAAATCAGTGGAGGTGTACCACCACAAACGGGTCCATGTACTTGAAAACAAATATCATTTGAGTGACCCGTCCACCATCGCTAAGTTCTTCCACCCTTCCATTCAAGCTAGTAGAATCCAGGGTCTGGAGATGTCCCACAACAAATGCTCACCACTCCCACTCATATTTACCCTCTTACCATCACAGCTGCTGTATCAGTGTGTGAGAAATGGAAGCCACACACTTGCAGCAGCTAGACTTGTTTAAAAAAAAAAAAAGCTACTCATTCGGCTGCCTGGGTGTCTGTGTCTGCAGCCTCTCAGGTTGGACTGTGACCTCCTCACTGCAGGCTGCTCCCCTTGCAGCTGCCCTCAGCTGCTCGATAACCTTACTCTCCGTCTACAGGACCTCATGGCAGATTTAACTAGGTATGTCATACATTATATTGGTACATTGTCTTGTTGCCAACAGAAGCAGCAAGCAGGCCCTCTGTCGTCTCAGACCCCTGCGTGTTTATGGCAATTGTTCTCAAGTCTCTGTCCTGAATCGTACTGCTCCCCCTGCCCCTCCCCCCCCAGCTCTGTGACAGAGAGGAAAAAGATCAGCAAGCTGTTAAGGATGTTAAAAGCACTGTGTCCTTGAGAACAGTTAGAAGGTGAACCATTTCCAACAGAGGTCACTATTGCTTATGCCATGGTCTAATAATGCCACAAGGGGACAAGGGCATCCCCAGAGAGAAAGCTCTCAGTTAGGACCTCCAGCTGACAGTCTCAATGCAGCCTTCCAGGCTATTTCTGCGGGGTGTCATGAGCCCCCATTTGACAAGGGCATCTTCGTTTGCTCTCTCAACCTGCTACTCTAGGCATTTGGGCTGGATGTGGTAAGTCTCCACGTGGATGCTGTTTTGCCGCCTGTCTGCTACCTGCTATTTATTCCTTCACTTCGGTTTGCTACAGACTTGATAAACTCAACCACTCAACACTGAAGTCAGAGCTATTGTAGATGGCTCTCCAGACTTACAGAACACTCACCCAGGAGAAACTTGTCTGAGGTCCCAGCTTCCTGGTAGATGCAGCTGTTACCACAAACCATCTACAGGGCAAACTCATGCCAAGGGTGCAGTGCTGGGAACGGCCCCACCAAGGGTAGGTAATAGGGTTGCGTTGTTTAGGGAAGATTTATCAAGAAATAGTTGAACTTGCTAAATGTTACTTTGTTTTTTTATGGTCATCATTCTAGAGAAGGCCACCACTATCTTATTTCCCTGCCCCTAAAATCTTAACTCTCACTTCTAAATAAAAAGAATTATTGATAAATGTTAATAATGCAGCATCTCCAAATAGTTTATACAAGCTGATACAGAGACTTCCATATTGTACCTCCTGCACCTAACTTACACCACTTCAGCTATGTGCATTCATCAGCAATAAAATGACAAATATTCAAAGGCTCCACAAATGGGGTTTACAAATCAAGCCCTGTTCTATGTCACATTCTTGCATGTAGACAGTGTATTTACGGGTAAGGATATAGCTCCCTTGGTAGAAAACTTGACTGGCACGCATGCAGACCTGGGTTCCATCTCTAGGGCATCATAAACGGAGCATAGTGCTGCACTCCTACAATCCCAGCACTTACAATGTGGAGGCACAGGGGTCAGCTGCTCATCAGTCTAAACTATAAGAAACCCTCTCTCAAACAAATCAAAAATAAGAATGCACTCAGGTGAACAATTGTAAGTACCACCACAAAACCAGACATATCTGCATACCAAACTAAGAGGTAACACATGCTATTTCTACTTGGGTTCAAAGTGTGAAACTCTAAAGTAGTAGCGATCATAAGACCCAACATCCCCATTTTGACAGATGCAAAAATTTATTTCATTTGTAAAATAATTTCTTGGATATTGGAATATATGTAAATTTGTATTTTTTTCTTTTTGAATTATAGCCTCAAAACCACAGAATGACTTATGAAAGTTATGTCAGTGACTACTGCCTGATTAAGTGGAGAAGATGCACAGCCTGAGTGTTCTGTGCAGTGTGTGGGAATGAGAGCTCTGTGCAGGAAGAACACTGCACATTTGATGTGCATAAAGATCAGTGCTATTTGGGGACAGGATTTGAGAGCCATAGCATGCAGGAGAGCCAGCCTGCTGCCCTGCCTTGCCTCATATCCATTCTGGCCTTGGAATGCTCATTAACCTTCTCAGGCCTAGTTCCTTCATTAGCAAACCATGTCCTGGTAGAAGAGGACTTTCCATAATCGGAATCTAACACTGTGTCTTAGTGGCTATTCTATTGCTGTGAAGGGACACCATGACCAGGGCAACTCTTATAGAAAGAAAGCATTTGATTAGGGACTGGCTTACAGTTTCTGAAGTTTAGTCTGTTATCAAAATGGCAGGGAATGTGGTGGTGCGCAGGTGGGCACTGGAGCAGGAGCTGAGAGCAGCATCCTGATCCACAGGCAGAGAAAGAGACTCTGGGCTTGGCATGGGTTTTTGAAACCTCAAAGCCCACCCCCAGTGACACAGTTCCCCCAGTGAGACCACAGCTCCTAATTCCTCTGATCTTTTCAAATAGTGGCACTCCCTGGTGACCAAGCATTAAAATATATGAGCTTATGGGGGGTTATTCTTTTTTCAAAGCAACACACATTGATTCTTAAGGGTGCCACACGGTCACCCTCCTTGAGCCTCCTGCAAACATACAGGAAGATGAGTGTATGACAGCTTTATGAGTTGTCGACTATGAAGACACCAGTCCTAGCCAATCATAAAGCTAAACATAAACAGGTCTAAGTTAACAGAGCCAGTGCTGAGAGCACCCAGCCAGAGAGATGCCAGGCCTTGAGGGAGCTGGTGGCAACGTTTGGAAGGGCCCACTAAACCATATTTAATATACAGCCGCAGACTTGTTTAGCTATGGCTTAAACTTAGGCTGGTGTCCTTTTCTTGGAATTCCTTGAGTAGAAGAGGCTCCTGAAGGTGTTCAGGTATGTATCCTGCTTTCTCTACCTGATACCAGCACACACTCTGGGCAATACAGAAACTATGTCTGTTCTTTATTTGTACAGGGCCTGCCCCTCACCAAGGCTCTCTTCCACCGTAAGGCTTCTTGTGGCTCCAAGGAGTCCCATTCTTCTGGAAGCAGCTGGGCTTCCTGGCCTGGCCTGGATAGACCGCTGTTGTGTGATAGCAGCTGGATATTTGGTAGCCCAGGCATGTTTTAGGACAGCACAGAAGGAGCACGGTGCCTCCACTTGACTTGAGCTTCCATATGAGAGAACCTGTTTGACTGTTTTCCTCCTCCATCCCAGCAACCAGCTTTCTCGTGAGCAGTACCACCATGTGGGTGCTA